TTGAAACATATTACGAAGTTTTTAAAAGTTTTATATTTAAATATGTGCTGACACAAAATTAAAATTTATGTAGAAAGGTGCATTACTAAATTTTAATACTTTTCAATTTTCTTATTAAATTTATTTATTTCTAGCAATTTTTATGTATATAATTGTAAAAACTTTGGGCTTATCTTTATCACTATTGCAGATAATTGCTCGTATTTAATTAATTGCTGACGTTTGAGAGCGATTGTTTTATATGATTATAGCAGAATCATTATAATATTTGTAATTAAAGATGATTTTTAGTCAGTCTTTGTTCGAAACTTGGCAATAATCTAACATTTAAAAATAATAGTAAATTTTAAAAGATACTGAAATCGTTAAATTGCCCATAAATTTTACAGCAATTTCTGGTGTATAGGTAACACTTGCATTCGATATATTTAAAAAAAAAAGTTAAATTAACACTAAACGTTACTATATTATCCAGAATTATCAACGCAATGTTACGTGAATTAATTTAATTGGAAGTAGAGTGATGGCTAATTGTAAGTTCTATTGTATAGTGAAAAGAAATGAATATAATCTAGATATGAAGGACAAATTGTTGATACAATATTTTTCAGGAACTTTTACATTCACTTACATCTAGAACTTTTTAAACTTTTATTGTAATAAATTATATGTTATTTACATTGTATACGATTTGTGATTTGTTGTACATGTACTTATCGCACAAGTACAAAACGCAATTTTGTATATCTATCGACGATATCAAACTAATTTATGTGCACAAGCAGATATATGTATGAATAATTATAATTTAATTACAATAATTTTATAGGTATAGAACAAAACAAAATTCAAAATAATATTATGTTGATTTTTTATTTAATTTTTTTTGTACAGTAAGCCTATTACGTAATAAAGTTTCTAAACATGATATAAATGTGCACAAAAATGATCACATTTTATAATTAAAAATTGATGTAACAGAATATTTTAATACTTATTAGATTATTTAGATTATTAAGATTATGTTTAGAGAAAAATATTATAGGTTAAACGTTTACTTAGTTAGATCTAGAGTCTATAATAAAATAAGCTTTCCAATAATTATTCATTGATGTTTAAAAAACTAACATATCTTATTATTTACGCTCGGGCTTGAAGGCAGCTTGTGCTGAGGGTGGTATGGGTGGTAAGGGTGGTAGAGTTTGTTTGGTGGACTCGTTACCGGGAGTAGAGTTGACGCCTCCATTGCCTCCGTCGTCTCCATCGTTTCCATTGCCGGAAGGAGTGGACCCGGTCTCGGGAGTAGTGACTCCTAAAGGTGGTAAAGTTTGAAGAGTTTGTTTAATGGACCCGTTGCCAGGAGTAGTAGATTCGTCGTCTCCGTTGCCTTTGTTGCCTCCGTTGCCTCCGTTGCCTCCGTTGCCTCCGTTGCCTCCGTTTCCTCCGTTGCCTCCGTTGCTTTCTTTGCCTCCGTTGCCTCCGTTGCCTTCGTTGCCTCCGTTATCTCCGTTGCTTTCGTTGCCTCCGTTGCCT